AATGCAAAGATACAGATCTCAGCTGGGCTGCTGAAAGGGCGGTAGGAAATTTTACTTTGGCTGGCACAGTTGAACCAGCTTAAATTTCCCTGACATGGGTTGCAATGAGAAGTAAATTCTGTCAGTTCCGAGGTAGGACTTACATGAGACTCTCGTTCTATCTAGGCATTAACCATTGCATGAGGATAATGAGGCCATTCCCACTGGCTCCATATTTGCCGTTGTGTCTCCGTAGGCCTCAGCCCCCTGCATCCATGCATTAAGGATACATCCATACAGCCAAGCCTCCTCCACACACACTGACCTGGTTCAAATATAATGATAGTTCAGAGCATCGGTTGATTGTGTCTTGAGTCAGGAAAGGTTCCTCATGGTCAGAGCAATATGACAGTGGAACCGGCTGCCTAGAGAGGTGGTGGGCTCTCTCACACTAGAGACTTTCAAAAAGAAACTGGACAGCCATCTGAGTGGGATGGTGTAACGTGATGCCCTGCAACAGCAGGGGGTTGGACTCGATGGCCTTCATGGCCCCCTTTCAACTCTACTATTCTATGATTCTGTTGGTATGGGAGGTTATTGAATCATGGGTTGGATTTGAATCATGGGTTGTCTTTTCATGTGAACATTGGTTTGTTAACCATAACCATGATTTCACAACTTAACAATGGTGTTCATTTCATGATGATTGTTTGTGGTTAACAGTCCATACTTAAACCATGGTACAAGGTCCACATATAACAACAAGCGATGATTCAACAGCAAGCCATACTCAGGGTTATTGTTACTTGCAAACCAGGCTCCCAGACAGGCTCCTCCCTGCCCAACCTGGCTCTGTCATTCATGCACTTTTTAACCCTGGCAAGGAAATTCCCGAATTTGGGTTCTCTTTCTTGGATCAGGGTTAATGTACATAATTTAGAAGATATTGGGTGCACTATTCAGAGCCGGTTTTCCAATATAGTTTGTATCTTCTCTGGCTGTATTATGTCAAAGAAAGATATATGGGACAACTTGCATATGAATGAGCATAGTTTAGCACCCATGTCCAGCCACAGTTTACCTAGCCATTAAGCCCGACTTGAGAGAACTTCCTCCAAGTGCCCTTTTTGAGGGAAACTCAGTTGACAACCTGAAGGATAAGGGCCTTCTTTGTGGCAGCCCCACAACTATGGAACAAACTGGTTGTATTAACTAGCCTTAGAGATTTAGAAACAGAAACATAGTGAGTCAGAAGATGCTTCCAGGGTCATCTAGTCTGACCCTTGGCTCCAACTGGCTCCACTCATATAATACCTAACATGTGGTTGTCCAGTCTTTCCTTGAATGACCTCACTGATGGGGCCTCAACCACCTCCTGTGGAAGCCCATTCCATATCCTAGGGGTCCTAACCATCAGGAAGTACTTCCTGACATCCAACCTAAAACCTGGTTCCTTGAGTTTTGACCCATTGGATTGTGTCCTTCCCTCCACTGTAGGGAAGCACAGGTCACAACCTTCTATGTGTGACACCCCTTCACATACCTATATGTCACTATAAGATCCTGTCTGAATTTCCTCTTCTCCAGGCTGAAAAAACCCAGCTCCCTCCATCTCATCTCATATGGCATCCTCTCCAGTTCAGCTATCATCCTTGCGACTCTGTGCTGTACTGATTCTAGCCTAGCTATGTCTTATAGTCTCAGAACTGGTCACAGTACTCCAGTTGTGGGTGCACTGGAGTCTTATAGAGTGGTACCAACACCTCTTTTGATCTGGAAGCCAGGCCAGGCAACGGAGAGGGTGGTGTCGGCCTCCTGCTCCTGTGATTGACATACCTCCATGTCTCCCGAGCTTGTTCTCCAGTGGCCCCTCCCTCTTCTTGCTGTCTGGAAAGGGGCTGTTCTTGTTTGACCTGGAAATGTCCGGGAACAGCTCCGCCTTCCTTATCTCCTGGAGGGAGGTGATGGTGTCCTCTAGGTCCTTCATCTTCTCCTTGAGGAAGGACACCCACTTGCACTCAGCACAAGTGTATCCTGGCTTCTCTTGAGTGTGGTAGACAAACATGGCACAGGTGCTGCAGTGAATGGCAACATGTGCCACTCCTGCCATGGCTTTCTCCTGGTCTGGCCTAGGCCACCCCGCAATGATCCTGATATCCACTTCCCCTCTGGCTTGTCTTGCCTATACTACACTTGCTCGAGGCTGGATACCCTGTTCTCTCAGGGAAGTCAAAGTCCGCAGGGAAGAGAGTCACTGGGCAACCCGGGTTGCGACTAAGGATACAAACAAGGAGCAACGCTCTTGTTGCATCACCCTTAGAGTGTTGGCACCTCCAATGGCTGTGCTGAACCCAAAGGAGGCCTTGTGGGCAGCTGGCACTTAGCTGCCCCCCTTTGCTTTGCCAGGAGTCTCGCTGGGCCTGCGTTAGCACCATGTGCCTCCCAGATCCTTCCTTGCCTTCCCCAGTTCCCTCGCCTGCCTTCCTTGGCTCCTCTCTCCACTCTGCTGTGGCCATCTCCTCTGGAATCCAAAAGGCCAAATGTAATCCAAATTCAATGTGCATAAATTGGGGGTTTTAATTTATACAGCTCAATTTTATGATGCTTTATTTCTATTTTGTAGCATCCTGTTTGAATCACCAGCTCTCCAGGGAGCCTTGGCTATTGTGTGGTATAGAAATTAAATGAACAGGTGTCTCAACTGTTTCTGGTTATTTGTATTGGAGATTCAGTATTAATTCGGTGTGTTCCCAGGAACAAGCAGGATGAATATAAAGTGGCAGGAACTGGAACCAGTAATGAGGGTAAAAATCGTGATACATCACCAACTAATTATGCCATTTACAGGACTTCATTGCACGTAATGTTGAAGGGTCGCCATTGCTGTGGATTGGACTGGCAACCACATCCTCTGGAGACAATTGGGCTAGGGAGGACGGCTTTTCCTTGGATGAAAAAACGTGAGTAGCTCTGAATGGACATACGTGGGTTCCACTGAATACCGTGGGACTTGCTGTTGTCAACATGCTGCAAAGGCTGCTCTGTTTCTTGTGGGATTTAAGTGGGGGACCAGTAGGCTGTGGGTGGGGTGGCCATGGGTCTGTTTTTACACCGAGATCTCTTTGAAGGTGGTCCTTTTTCATTCCATTTCTATGCTGCCCCATAACCCGAAGGTTCTCTGAGCAGCTTACAAATGCTAAAACACCATAAAATACATAGGATACAATAAAACTATCAATAATCAGATAAAATAGCTAAAGTGATAAAATAATATATAACATCTCATGGTAAAATAGACACCTCCCTAATAAATCGACCAAAAATAAATTAAAATAAGTTATCCATAACAAAATATAAAAGTATAAAATAAAATAAGATGGAATAAAATAAAATTTAAAAATCCTAGCTCCCTCTCACCACTGGCCACATGTGCTTGCTTGCTCACCTGCTCTTTCCCATGTGGAAGTGATGTAGGAGGCTAGAGAAAGGGCAGGAAACAGAGTCGTATTTAGTGGGGAGGGGAGCAGCCAGTCCTGGGGGGGGAGGGGGGCAAGCCATTGTCAGAAAGCTGGCAGGGCTGCCTGAAACACAGGAAGAAGAGGTGAGCAGTTGTCCAGGGATGAAAAGAGGACACAGGTCCTGTTGCCCAGGCAGCAAGTTCTGGGAGCAATTAAAGCAAAGCAGCAGTGGCTAAGGCCCAAGGCTGGATCAAGAGACGAGGAGAGGCCTTCTGGGACAATTGTGAAGGCCAACAGTGCTGTCATGTCAACAAGGACTACCTTTTTGTATTCGTATGAGAGAAAACCATCTTGTGCGGGTCTGGGAGGTGGTCAGAAAAAGGAGGTTACTTCCATCAAGGTGACCTTGTGTGAAAAAGTGAGTAGATTCAACTTTAGTTGCTCTGTGTATCAAGAAGATAAAATATTTGAGGAATGTGTCATGCCTTGATATATGCCAAATATTTTCTTCATTTTGCAGATCATATGAACTTTTGCAGAGCCCTCGTGCAACAAGGAGCTGTAGAATGCTCTATGGGAAAGCAACTGATGTTGCAGACTGCGGTACATTCAACTCATGGATCTGTGAAAGAAAAGCTTTTGATATAAACAGTAATGTGTAAAGCCAAAACATTGTCTGTTTTCACATTCAACAGAAGAATTTGCAAAAGAAGAACCTGCATTCCTCTTCCTACAGACTGAGGAATCATGGGATAGGAACGGAGACCAGGGAAGGGGGCTCTTGTCCTTCCTATCCCATGATTCCTCAGCCCAACAGGAGAGAACTGGAAGTTCCTCCTTTGGGAATGGGAGAAATCAGGGTTACTAGGTATTTGCTCAAGCAGAGGCAGTTCCCACTGGAAATTCTTGGAGATGGAGGACAATCACATGACACCTGAGCCATGCAGTTTCAGCACCTTCTGGGCAAAGGCCATGATCCTCTGTGCACTTACTTAGGAGGAAATACCATTGAGTGCAAACCTGTATGCTTTAGAGTGTTAACCAATAAAAACCAATCAAAACCCAAATACACAAAATGTGTCAACTCATGATGATTGAATGAAATTAATACATGGCATAGCTTTTCAGATAAAACTAATATTAAAACCTAACTATCCTTAAAAACCTCTGGTAAAGAAAAAGTGGTGATTCATATCTTGAGCCTGATTCCAAATCTGATTTGGGATCTACAGCGACTCACCCTGGTTGTCTTACTCATTAACCTTGACATTTCGGCAACACATTCCAATCCCCTCTCCAATTCTTGTTGCTCACATTCGGAGTCTGAGCTCTCACTCAGAATGCTGTATTTTGGGAGAAGTGGACCCAATTCTTACAATGTGTGTTCCAACTTGACCCCCCCCCCCGCCCCCGCCTTGGGAGGCACAAGTTCTTTTGCTGGAGTCATTTGCCTTCTCTCTGTGTGTGTTTCCTCCATTTCCTATACTAATGCACAGTTGGACCCCCTTAGAATACAAAACATACCTTTATACAGACAGAACAAATACAGTCTTAACTTACATCTCAAAGACATTCACACTTTTTAATTCGTATGCCTTTTTTTCTTATGGCTGTTTAATAAAAGAAACCCTCACAAAAAAGGTGATTAAATCATAGAAATATCTCCATGTAACAAGTGTTTGTGCAAGAATAACTTTCAGAATTTGAGGGTATGCAAAAGAGGATGTGACGATCTTCCCGTGCTGCTTATAGACCGGAGTGGCCAAGCCGAGGTTCACAAGCCACATGTGGTTCTGATATAAGCAGTAATGTGTAAAGAAGTTATTTTGCAGTTTGCTGTGTGCTGCCTGTTGCCGCTGCCTGCAAGGACACACTTGCAGTTCTCAAACATTCCATTTTAACTTTTAACAGTATCTGATTTGTTGCAGATCCAGAGCAGTTTTGTCTGGCAACTTGAGGATGTGATGGTGGCTTCATCATTCAGAAAAGTACAATCTCCTCCATTTCCAATCACTTGCAACCTGTCATACAAACACTACAAATGAATCAAGCAATATATCTGGGGTTTGATAGCTGGGGAGACATCTCTTGCGGGAATGCCTTTCATAACAATTTTCAAGTCACACACACAGAGACATATTTCATATACACTGTTACATAAGAACCTTTCTGGGGATGAAACCATGAGCAGAATCTGAAAATATCCATGGGTGGCTAATTATGGCACAGTTCTTCCTCTTGCAGATGCTTACATAATCAACCTCAAATCTCATCCTCCTACAGCATCATTCTGAGAGCCAATATGGCCTAGAAAGCAGGACTGGAGATCCAGGAAACTCAGGTTCCAGTCCCCAGTCATCCATGAAGCTAACTGGGAGACTTGGGCCAGTCACTGACTGTCAGCCTAAAGTGCCTCACAAGGTTGCAGTAATGAGGAAAAATGGAGTGAAGGAAAACTAAGTAAGTCACCTTACAAGAGGTAAAAAGGCAAGGCAGAAATGCAAGGTAATAATATTCCTATGCAACCCCATTCTGCTAGGAAACAGGACTGGTCTTGCGTTGGAGACCGCATGTGCTAGAACAACACAATTTGTGTTAATGGTAGTGTCGATTATGCCAATTATTTGAAAAATCAACGCAAGAATACTACTAAGGCACTTATGAAAAAATAGGTTTTCTTTGTAGCATATAGTAGTAATAACTTTCAGGTAACTATTCAACATTTCACTTGTTTGTCTTTGTTGTGACTAATTGTGAAGACTTCTTGGAATGGTACATATTAGTAGTACATACTGGGATTTATAATTAAAAATAAATACATGAATGGAACCACAATTCATACTAATAACCATACAAGGCATTTGTCAGAGAGTGAGTCAGAAAACTTGGCCAAACATCTCAGAATGATATTGTGGTGGTGTGATTTGAAACACATCTTTGAATCATGCAGGATGCCAGCACTGGAAAGGGGCTATTATCTTCATAGCTGGTCTCATGAGATAGTTAAGAGTTGCTCTGCTGAGTTGGATCAAAGGCCTTCCTAGGTCAGTATTCTGTTCCCACAGTGGTGAACCAGAATCTCACAAGCAGGGCAAGAACACCTTAATACCCTTTGGCTTGTGTTCCCCTGCACCCCTTCCCTTCCTGCTCCCAGCTGGAGTTGTGAGCTGGGGTTTTCCCTCCTTCAGACCTTCAAGACAATAGATTGCTCTTTGTAAAAAGCTTTTTATTCACCCAAATATGCCCAGTAAACACAATCACAACAAAATGCATCTCTCAGCATGCACACTGAACCCAATCTAAACAAGTACTTCCAGAAACATTCCTTTTGAGTAAGTTTGGGGCTAATCCCTTTGAGAGGGAAGCAAGCATGCCTTCTCTCTGTACTCTGACCTTCTAGTCGGCCAACTCTCTTCTCTTGACATCGTGCTGTGGGGTTAAGAATCCCAGCTTTGTTTGTCTCTTAGAGCTCCTCTCCCAGGCTGCCACCCAACAGCTGTATATCTGTTATTTCCAGAGTGCTTCGGCATCTGGAGAGTGTAGCATTGAGATAATCTCCTCTGCTTCTCCCATCTCAGAGTATGAAACCCCAAATTTCCCACTTCCCTGTTTCTTCCTCTGACTCAGAGTTCAGATTGGCATGATCTGAGAGTGTGTGCCAAGAACAACTGCCACCCTCATTCCCTACATCTGGAATCCAGGGCTGGAGGCAATCATGTCTGAGGAAAACGATGGCTGGAAGAAGGGCACTGGGAGAGGAGAGGGGAGGAAAGGAGAGGAGTCTGTGAAGGGAGCGGCTGAGCACTCTTCTCTTGGCAGCTGCATTTCCTCCCCAGATTCTGCTCCTCTTGTGCCATGCTGAGGGGACATCCAGGTTCCCAGCACCATGCCTCCATTGAACACCGACTTTGGCCTCAGATGCTCCAAACAGATTGTGCCAGATTGCACCGTTAAGATAATATGATCATTATGTTGTGAAAAACAGTAATACAATCAACAAATTGTAGTTCTGCTTAAAGGTAGAGATTCTCATTCCTGAGGTCTCAACAGGGAAGGCTAAAAAGGAAAAAGGATGACTCACGTTGAATTGTCTCCATTTGTCCATTTCCATGGCTGACCTTGCTCCCTCCTGAGGCCAATCCAGGCAGTGTTTTTGCCATTGAAACGCATCACAAAAGCCTTCCAAGAGCAAAATACTCAAACGTGAGAATCCTAATTTGCAATATTTATGGACCAATGATGTAGCATGGTAGCAATACTGTAAGGTAGCAATACTGGGTTGGTACTTTTCAGTGGTCCTGTGAGCTTAAACTTTCTAGAGCATGGGTCCTCAAACTATGGCCCGGGGGCTGGATCCAGCCCGCCATGCCCATTTATCTGGCTCGCCATGTCCATTTGGACCTGCCACATGTGCACCCGTGCCCATGCGTGCCCCCTGCCGCCCACCTCGCCCCACATGTGGGGAGGAAGTGGTTTGCTTGCTTGCAGAAAGCAATCTCCAAGAGAACAAGTCTCTGCCTTGTGTGCCTGACTTGCAGCATGTGCCCTCGCCTCGCCTCATCTCACCTCACCTTGCATGTCCACCTGCGCCTTGTCTCATCTTGCCTCGCCATGCACCCCAGCCCCACCACAGCATGCACGCATGCCTGCATGCGCCACCCCTGGCCCAGCCCGTGTGCACCACTGGCTCCACCTTTCTGGCCTGCACCCAGCACCGGCAGCTTTCAACTGGCCCCCTGGTGAAAAAGTTTGAGGACCCCTGTTCTAGAGTTCTGCATAGCTCCAGCCCTGTACCAGAGCAGATACTGTGTTAGGAACTAAACCATGGTGTAAACTTCCAAAGGTAAACAAGCTGCTTCCCTGCTCTGCCCTCCCTTCTCTCAGCTCTGCCTCATTATTCATTCCTATCTTCACTGTCCTTTCAGTGCAGGGCGGTGGCCATAACTATGGTGTGTCAAGTCAGATATCATGTGGCCCCTAATTTACAGAAACCACAATTACACCATGCTCACTTCAAGCCACTGTTTCTGTTCTTTATTGCTATATTGCCATGGCCTGTCAATGGAGACACATCACATCAAGCCACAGTTAAACAACAGATGTGATTTTGGAGTCATGCTGCAATTGAGCCTATGCCTTCCAGTGCTTTCAGATGAAGCTTTATCTTGCAATCATGCTCAAATACGTCTTTTTATTTGGCTTGGGTGTATCCCAATCATGTCTTCCCTTTGCAACCCCTCCATGTCTTCCTCCCACTGAAAAAAAAGTTTCATTAAGGAGGAAAAGAGTGAAAAGCCTTTGAGTGGTTCTGTTTGCTCACAGGGGCCACAAAGAACCAAAGGCATGAATTCAGAGCCTCACCCTCTGGGTTGTCTACAAACACATCACCACTACATATATTTAGCCCAAATATGTTTGATGTGTTAAAAGTCAGCAGCTACACCTCTTCCTTACATACTCTGTACCATCTGCAAGTTCCAGAGGTACCACTAGTTCCCTCATGCTGCCTAACCACCATTCCTTCTCGCATAGCAGTACTTCTCTACATAACCATCCATGTGCAGAAATAAAAAATGCTCATATTACCTTTTCCTTCTTACAACTAATAGTAAGCAGGGAGGAATTATATGACATGCAAAAATTCTGGCTGGAGGTCCAATTCCGTTTTTCCTCTGAAAAATAGTAGCACTTTCCCTGATATCCGATCCAGGAATCTGGGCATGCTGGACCAAGGGGGATAAAGTCTTTTCTTTGCAACACTAAGAAAGAAACAGAACAATAAACAAGTGCTCTGCCCAACACTCCCCGCACTTCCACACAGACAGAAAGAGCCATGACCAGACAATGTCAGGGCAGAGCCTATTGATCTAAATGACTCTTTAAGCTAGACACTCACACACACACATCCTGACTTTCCTCCAAGGATGTCAAAACAATGCACAATGAACTCTCCCTTTCTCTTTTTCTCATCTCAACAGTTCTGGGAGGTAAGTTAGGCTGCCCGATGGTGCCCAGTCTGGACTTCATGACCTCGACCACTCATGGTGTTTTGGTTCAAGGCTTTTATTATGCCATCATGCTTGCCCATTCAGAGAATGTCAGAGGAGTGCCAGACATTTTCAGCATCATCTCCCACCGTTAACTTTCCTGGGCTTCCCATCACTGTTTCCATTTTTTCCTTGCCATGGAAAATTCATGAATGCAGGGAAAAGGCTGCAGCTGTACCATACCGTCAGGCTGCAAGGGCTCCATCTAGAAGCTCTGCGCATAAGGAGTCTCTGCACCCATGTGGTAGATGCTACTTCGTCCAGCACTTCTCCTATGCCCACCCAGGCACACTGAAGGCCTTCAGTGGGTGTGGTGCTTCTTATCTGCATAGTCAAAGAACATCCAAGTGCTGCACTCTGAATGATATTCTACCACTCCCATGGCAGTTCAGCCTGCTCAAAGTGCTTCATATATGTTATCTCAGATGTGTTTACAACAATCCCATAAAGCAGGACAGTATTATTATCCCTATACAGTATACTGCGAAATAACCTGGGAGGAAGGCTGGGTGACTTTAGGCCAGCTACTGGTTATTTAATGTGATTTACTGTGCTCTCTGAACTCTGCTGCAGCCAGCAAACTATAGGTTATTAAAAGAACCCATGGTCTGTTCTTGCGCTTTGAACTGTGGGAGGTTCATGGTTAATAAACCATAGTTTTCCTGTGCAACTGGGTTAAAACAACAGTCATGATTCAACATCTCATACTCACTCCTAGGTTCTGGGTTACCATGTTTTCTGAACCTGGTCAATAAAAGCTTACCTAAAGTCATCCTGTGAATTCAAGGCAGAAGTAAGATTGGAAGAGAAATTTCCTTGTTTACAGTTCAGCCTCTCAGCCACCATACAAACCATTTTTCATGAAGCTGGGCATTGCCTGCACGTTACCTAACCATTGCAAGATTGTGCTTTCCAGGTATTCAGACTGCATGGGAGTGCTGCAGAAGCAGTACGTCCCACATTGGTAAAGGGGTCAAGGTTAGGGATGCAGAAGCATCCAATCATTCCGTCCAAAAGGGGTCTTGGATTTCCTCCAACTGCTGAAAGGGAGCACTCACAAGAAATTCACTTTTGTGTATTTTCTCAGCAGATGGTGGGGCCAAGACTTCAAAAAGTCATGCTGCACCATTTAGACATCCATTCCTGCCTTCATCATGCACCACATCTAGAGCCGGTGTGGAGGTTAAGAGCATAGGACTGGGACTCAGAGAATCTGGGTTCTAGTCCCCACTCAGCCATGGAGCCAACTGGGTGACTTTGGACCAGTCAAAGACTCTCAGCCCAACCTACCTCACAGGGTTGTTGTTGTGGGGATAAGATGGAGGAGGAGGAGGATGTAAGCTGCCTTGAGCCCTTTGTAGGAAAAAGGCAGGATATAAATCGAAAAATAAATAAATAAATCTATCATGGTGCCAAATAAAATGGGTCACTTCCCCTTGTGGCAGGGCTGAACCAGTTCTGCTAGAAGGTGTTTTCTGGCAGTTGCAAAACAAGGCACCCTCCACCATTCTTCTTGCCCCAAATCTGCTTCTTCTATAAAGCTGTTTTGGAATCAGCACAGCCTTTGTTTTTCTTACTCTGCTATTCATTAACTCAGCAGTACTCCTGGAACTGCACAATATTTGCCAGAGCAGGGGGGTTGAATTTCAGGCCTGTGGATGAAACACAGCCCTCCAGATTTCCTCAAATGGCTTTGCCCTGGTCTTCTCGCCCCAGTGTTTTCCTCACAACAGCTAATTGCTTGGCAGTTTCTGGCTTTGGACAATCCTTGCCCCAGGGTTCTTGTGGAACCCTGGGTTCGTGTGAAAATGACAGGACCTCCGTCTATTTATTTTCTTTTATTTCTATACTGTCAGCAGCCAAAGCTCTCCAGGCAGTTTATGCTATAGTGGCTGGAAGTTAGGGAAGGGGCAAATAACAGAAATTCTGCAGAGAACAGGGGAGAAAGAACTGAGGTAGAGGGACCTCTTTGTTCAATGTTCTGTCACTGGAAGGGGAGCCATTTTTCCTTTGTATGTAACCAGTTGAAGCTGGTTTCTTACATTTTTTGTCATTCCTTTTGTTGATTCTAAGAGAAGAAAACAAATTTTCCAGCTTCAGGGCTCAACCCCTATTCTGGCATAATATTAACGCACAGAAGAGCTTCTGGACCTGTTGGCCAAAAGGTTCAAACACAACAGTTTCTTTGTCACAGTTTCTATGCCCAGGGAAGTCCTCCTTTTTGTGCCTTCCAAAGTCAGTGTTCTGATATATGAGAACTGACAGTTTGTATGAAGTATGTAAGAGGCTACCAAGATCAGTTGGTCTTCCTTATGGTAAAACTCTCTGTCCATCCTTAGAAGGAGAGAACCAAAAGATACAATGAGGCACCCATGAAGAAGCCATAGGATTGCAGCCTCAGAATGCAGTCCTATATATGCTCTCCTGGGTAAGCAACATGAAATTCAATGGGACTTACTTTCAAGTACACATAAGGATTGCACTGTAAATGGATTTGACCTCCTGAATCCAAGGGAGTGAGTGGGTTCGGTCATGATAACCCACATAAGAAACCATGGTGAACAATCCACAGTTCAAACCGAACAACCAACCTTGGGTTCTCTTCATTGTGAATATACCAAAGCTTGCTAGCACAGCACAGACAACACAGTAACCTAAGGTTCAACAAGCTATGGTTCAAGCTATGATTCAACCTAATGAGAACCTCACTCAACCCATGCTCAAACTTTGAGTGGGGATGGGCTGTGGAATTCAGGATAGCAACAGCAAGGACTTACCAATCACCCAGGTAATGAGCCCAACGTTCAGGCAAGCAGATATGACTGCCAAGACTATTTTGATAGCTTTACATGATGAACCCTTGGAGATATTGGTCTGTACTGTATCACAAAGAGAGAAATAAAAAAGAAACAAAATTCATTAATTTCCCTGGGCCTTCTTCAGTAGAAAAAATGGGGAAATCTGGATGAGAAGATATTTACCAAACATAAAAAAAGATTTTACCAAGATAGTGGTGATGTGGCAGTATTTAATGCTCAAACTGAAGGACCATGTTTCAGATATGAAACTTATTTAAGGTAATATTATGTACTAGATGGGGAAGTTCAGCAGCACTTGGTTTTATCTACCATATCTGTGCTTTCCAACGTGCACGATGGGAAATACTTAACAAGCATTGAAAAGAATAGGATATGTATTTTTGACAAAGAAGACAAGTAGGGAGAATTGACTGAAACCTTCAGGGATTCAGTGGAATTTGTGTGGCAAAAGAGACCTGGAGAGGAACAGAAAAGTTTTCTCACTTCCTCTTACTGCCAAGAGGGCAGGGGATGTGACCTCAGTTCCCCTTTCCTCAGAGGAGGGGCTGCCTACCAACAAGACAGTGGTGAGGGCTGCAAGAGATGACCTGTCTGGAATGGAACAGGACAATTGCAGGGATATAGCAAGGAGATGGTGCAAAAATACATGGAGGAATTTTGGTGAAATTGTTGCTTTTCCAGCTGGGAAGTGCCACAAACTTGTAGGTACAGCTGGGAGGGGGAAGGGGGGAATCCACCTCAGGAATGCAGCAAGTCAATCATGAGGAAGCTGCTGCAGTCCCTAGGCAAGAATGGGGATGTCACTTGCTGGGGCTGCTGGGATGCATGGCAAGGCTGGAAGGTTGGGGTAGGGATTGCATGAACTGTGGTGTCTGGGTGGCCATGTGATCTTCTAACCAGCAAAGTCAGGCAAAAATTCATGCACTGAGGAAACAGCACAGGATTTTTTGCTGTGTTGCATGAATCCAGCCACAGAGTATGACCTGCCAAATGAATACCGCCAGTAAGCAATGGAAAAATGTCCATTGTTGTCATGGCAGTAACAAAATCTTGACTTCTGCCCCTAGATAAAGTACATTTGGCATTTGGAGCTGATGTTGCAATAGAGCTGGCACAGTTTGCTGTGTTTCTGGGGACTGTTCTTGAAGTGGCTATTTTCTTGCAAAGCTCACCGTAAATGTTGGGACAAAATGACCAAGAAATATTGCCCCCAAATGTTTCCTGAAGAGATGCTCACATGCAATCTTTTCTCATTAAGCACCACAGCCAGCCATTTCAAGTGGATGCACTGCTCCTAGTTAAATCAGTTTTGCTCTCCCAGAGTAATTTTACTCCCAGAGTAAAATTAGGAAGCTATGTGTTTAAGATGGGGTGAGGAACCTGTAGCCCCCCAGACATTGTTGGACTCTGACATTCATTGGCCAAGCTAGCATTGTTAGTGAACAGGAATAACAGGAGGTGCAGTCTAACAATATCTGGAGAGCTACAGATTCTTCACATCTGGATTTGGAGAAGGATGGCAACCTGTTGTATCCTTCTAGTCATGGGCGGTACAATCCAGTGTGGCTGCTTGCAACCTTCTGAACTTGGAGGATTTTGGACATTCACGCGAGGCTGGAAGAAGTATGGAACAAAAGTCTCCTTTGTGCTCCTTTCCCCCCGCAAAAGACTTAGATGGGCAACACTGGCCATGTAAACCTTTTCCCCTGGAACATGAGGAGAGGCTACAGCACTGCCAGGAGACTGCATATTGTGTAGTCTGGCTCTTGCCTTCCCCACACCCCTGAAATGTCTACAAATGCCTCCAACCCCAGGTTAGTCCTAGGTCTGAAGATCAACTTTGGAGCTGCAGCAAGGGCTGTACTATCTCCACCAGTTGAACAGATGGAGGGAGGGCACTTTGAGGTCAAAGTCCCAGCTTTGAGTGCATTCCCAAGGTTGGAACAAGGACTTCAGCCTCTCCTAAGGTTATCTAGATGATGTCCCATGCCAAAGTCAGTTACTGAGTGACTAGACATGGAGTCAATAGATTCAGGGTTAAAATAAACAAAAAACTAGCACAAGAACTGTTTGTGATTTCCAGCTCCTACCATAAAAAGAACAGCATTACACCCAACTAGGGGTGAGGAAGGACAAGCAGAAAAGAGTGGATGCAGAGAAACATATAAACATAGAAAACAGAGCGAGTCAGAAGGGGCCTCCCGGGCCATCTAGTCTGCCCTCCGGCACCACCCAGCTCCGCTCACAACATGCCCACCATGTGGACGTCCAGCCTATTCTTGAACAACTGCACCGATGGGGCCTCAACGACCTCTCGTGGAAGCCCATTCCACACCCTCGGGGTCCTGTCAGGAAGTGCTTCCTGGCATTCAAATGGAACCTTGGCTCCCTGAGCTTTGCTCTGTTGGAGCATGTTCTGCCTTCCTCTGCAGGGGAGAACAGGTCTTTACCCATCTCCATGTGACAGCCCCTCACATACCTGTATGTCACCAACATATCCCCTCGGAGTTCCCTCTTCTCCAGGCTGAAGAGACCCAGTTCCCTCAGTCTCGCCTCATACGGCATCCCCTGCAAACTGGCCACCAACCTTGTGGCCTTAGACTGCACTGACTCCAACCTGGCTATATCCTTTCTGTATTGAGGGGCCCAAAACTGAACACAATACTCCAGTTGCGGGCGCACTAGAATCATGTAGAGTGGTAGTAATACCTCTCTTGATCTAGAAGCCACACTTCTGGCTATGCAACCAAGGATGGCGTTCGCCCTCTTGACCACCGCATCACACTGCTGACTCATGTTTAGCCTGCAGTCAACCAGTACCCCGAGGTCTCTTTCACAAGTGCTGCTCTCCAGCCACTTATCACCTAACCCGTACTTATGACAGCCATTCCTATGCCCCAAGTGCAAGACCTTGCACTTATCCACATTGAATGCCATCCTGTTGTCTCCTGCCCACTTCCATAGTCTGTCCAGATCCTTTTGGATCTGGAGTACCTGCTCCTCAGTTGTGGCCGCTGCTCCAGTTTTAGTGTCATCTGCGAATTTGATCAGCAGACTGTTCACCCCTTCTTCCACGTCGTTAATGAAAAGATTAAACAGGATTGGCCCCAGGACAGAGCCCTGGGGGACCCTGCTTGTCACTGGCCGCCATCCCGATGATTCCCCGCTAATGGTTACCCTCTGCTTTCAGTCAGTCAACCATGCCCTAATCCACCGGACAGTGCTTCAGTGTATTCCAAAACTCCTCAGTTTCTCCATCAGGATATCATGGGGCACTTTGTCAAAGGCCTTGCTGAAATCCAGGTATACCACATCCACTGTGTCCCCTCCATCTAACCATCTCGAAACCTTGTCATAGAATTCCACAAGGTTTGTCTGGCAGGACCTGTTTTTGCGGAAGCCATGTTGTGTGGCTGTCAGCCTCCCTTCCCTATCTAGCATCACTAGATCTCTTTCTATTATGAGCCTTTCTATTGTTTTTCCTACAATGGACGTAAGGCTAACCGGTTTATAATTCCCCATGTCCTTTCTACTACCTTTTTTGAAAATTGGGACCACTGATGCCACCCTCCAGTCCTCTGGAACTTCACCCATTCTCCACGAGGTCTCAACAATGGAGGCCAGCGGGTGTGAGAGAACCCCTGCCTGTCTGCTTCCTCCTGGCTGCTCTAGCCTCTCTGGACCTGCCCCCTTCCTCTCTGCTGCTCCTGGCCCTCTGCTCCGCTGCCCAGCTCCTCCCTTGCCTTCGCCAGTCCCCTGGTCACTCTGTGCTCTCTCCCAGCCTCTGCCTCTGCTGCTCTGCCAAGAGGTCAGAGCCAAAAACAGTCAGCCTCTGCAAAACAGAAATTGTTTTTCTCGAAAGGTATACCAACTCTGTAAAACTGTGATGTTATCATATTAGGTAGAGCACTGGTGGGCTGGAAGTAGATCTGCAGATGTTTTGAACCAGCTCCCAGCATTCTAGACCATGGGTCAAGCTGACAGAGGCTTCTGGGTCCCAGACATCTGGAGACCTACCTTCTGTTCACCTGAGTGGACAGTTTAGGCAACTTTATGGACCCAAGAGCTTGTTTGGCAATTTGAAAAGCTGTCCTGTGTTCTACCGAACAATGGTCATGGAAAATGTGGCTCGTTACAAAGAACAAGTAACCTGCCCAAATGTCTAAATGTGAGGTGGAGGAGTAACACACAGAGTTTCTTCTTTTGAACCCACACTTTCTAGCAACAACCTAAACCTATCTCACAGAACTTTCCCCTCTCCTCCTTTACCAACAACACATCTTCCCATATTTTCCCTTATTACCTTTGTCCACCACCTTCCCCAAACCTCTCCCTCTTACTCACTCACATTCTCACACACACACCCTTTGTGGGAAGCCAGGAAAGTAAGGAAGGACACACTGCTGTCCATGGTATGATGGCTACCCCTAATTATCTGCAGGGGTAGATATTTCACTTCTTCTCTGGCACATGGCTTCCCTAAATCTCCCTCATCTCCAGTCTGCTCTCAGACAAAAGTCATGCCATTACCTCCTATACTGCTTATGACAGAGGGTGAATCATAGGAAAGAAGGGAGCTAGTTGATAAACGCCTTTCATTCATCTCTTCGGTCCCCAAGTGTTCAAAAACTATGCGCAGGTGATCTCTTTCATTCTATGAGGAAAACTGTGTGCCAGATTCAGTTCTAGTCATGTGCAGAATGCCTCCCCAAGGCTCACCTGGAATAAGAAAATGAAAACCAGGATATTGTGAGAAGGAGGCAGACAAACAAGATGTTGAAAACAGGAAAAAATGTGGAGAATGAGAAATACTATGGCTCCAGTCCTATATACAATTGTCTGGGAATAAGCCCCACCAAGCTTAGTATGATTTACCTGTGAGTAGACATGAATAGCACTGTGCAGTTTGTTAATACAACATTTCTGTTTGTGATGCAAGAGGGCATTATAATGCTCATACTCACAGGAATCAACAGAACAGGTCAGATGGAGTGAGAGGATCAGAATCCCACACAGTACACATCAGGACTTCCAGTTAATTCACTGGGGCTTACAGAATTCTCCTCCTCTCAATCTGATCCTTACAACAACAATCCTGTGAGGTAGGTCGGGTTGAGAGCCCATGACTGGCCCAGAGTCACCCAGGAAACTTCACAGCCAACTGGGGACTAGAACCCAGATCTCCTGAGACCCACTCCAATGCTCTAACCACTCTTAAATTATCCCCACCACTTTTTCACAAAATTTAATATGTATTTGGTAGTCTAGATTCACAAGCTTCCTGCTCCATCTCTAAGTGGGTACAAGGTAACTTATAGTTTTAAATTTAATAAATATTCAGCACAATACACTCCACATGGTAAGCTGTATAGCATGCATTTTTGCCTATCAAAATTCTTTCCACTATAATTCAGCCTAGCCTACCTCATAGGGATGGGAAGAGCCATGTTTGCTACTCCACGGTTCCCCACAGCAGTAAGCCAGATGGCACCGGGAAGCCACAAGCAGGGCATGAGACTAATAGCACCCTCTTGCATGTGTCCCCCAGCAACTAGTGCTCCTGGGCACACTGCCTCTGAGAAGGGAGGGAGCACAGAGCCACGAGGACTAGAAGTCACGGACAGCTTTCCCCTCCCTGAATTTGCCCAGTCCCTTCAGAAAGTCACTAAGGGCAATTACTGCTCCAAACTTCCCCCATCATACACAATGCCTCCCAAGCTCCCATGGAGGAAAAAATCAAAGCACTGGGGTAGGGGAGGATGGGAGAAAAAGGGTTACCCTGAGGGAGGGAGGGAGCTAGCATGGTGTAGCAGTGACAGTGTTGGCCTGGGAACTTGTGGGTTCAAGTCCCTCTCAGTCATGAGCCTCATGGGGTGACCAACCCCTCCAGGTTGTTGTGAGGATAAAGCAGTGAGGAGAAGGACCACACCAGCTTCTGTGTGTTCCTTGAAAGAGGATAAACCATGAGGTATAAATAATAATATTATAGTAATTATAATAATGATACTCACAGAGAAGGAAAGCAGGTGACCTCCCCATTGACACGGCTTCCCTCCACTCCCTCTGAACAGCAGCACGTTGGCTGGCTGGCTGGCTGGCTGGCTGCAGGTCTCCCCAGATAACTTAAAATGCTCAGTCAGCCTCCCCACAACAAGCCAGTCAGGCCCCAACTGGCTGAGGGCAGTCTCGGTGGACGCCCTGCTCAGGAAGCCACAGCTGGGTCCAAGGTCCAGCAGAACAGCCCTCCCTGACTGCCAGCCTGCCTCGGAAGAAATAAAGCTGGTTGAGAGCGATACATTTCCATTTTAAGCTGCAAAAGAATCAGAAGAACCTCTCTGCGGAACCTAGGGGCTTAGGGGGAAAAAAACCGGGCGGCTTTTCCCCACCTACACAGCTACGCGAAGGTGTGGGAAAAAGGGGACACTGACTAACTTGTCCGAGAGCTTTCTCAAGAATTTCCCCGTGACGGAACTTTTCCATGATGGAGCATGTCGAAACCCCATTGCAACAGCGCCCCTCAAATAAACCTAAGGGTGAGCAAAGGGAGGCTCGCCAAATGTTTCCGCCTGCAACTCTCATCACCCTCCTCCAAAGGATACGCTGGCAGGGACGATGGGTATTGCAGGGAGAAACAACTGGAGGCTCACTAGCTGCCCCCATGCCCAACTTCGCCGCAGGATTCATTCTGTCCTCGCCACAGCGGATCCCGAAAGGGGTCCCAGGCGCATCGTCATTCTTGGCACTTCTCGACAGCTTGGCCTTCCGGACCCCCCGTGGCTCCTCTCCCGGGTTTTGAAACCGTTCTTTTGCACGATTAGTATTTAAAATGGTCACAGCATATCTCCCAGGCACCCAACCCCGCTCCTTCCCACCCATGTCTGCCTTCGACAGGCTCCCGCCCAGGCTCAGGAAACCCAGCCAGCGATGGCCGTTCCCGACGCCACCCAGTTCCGCCCCGGCCGCTGCGTGAGTCTCCAACGCCACCGGCGACCCTCTTTTCTCTGTCTCTATGCCTGAGCTGACCCGTCTTGCTTGTGCCATCCCGCGCCTTCTTGCCGGCCCCTTCACTTACCATCCCGTTGCCACACTCGGCACGCAAGGAAAGAACGAGATCATTTCCGAAGTCGCCCCAAGTACGGTTGAAAGAGAAAGCGAAACCGCGCCGTGCTTCCCGGCTTATTCTTCTCCCTCGGGAGAAGCACACGGAATCCGTGCTCAGACTGGGATGCCTAAACTGCTGCCGCAGCTCGTCTGGCATGGCCCTGAGGGGATCCGGAGCCTGATGCAGCGTGAGACCCTCGGGGAGTTCTGGATACTGAATCAGTCGTCCAGCTATAAGAAAGGGATGGACGTCCTGTCAGAGGGGACCCTAGGGCAATCCTGGACAGCTGCACGGGGGTACTGCAAAGGATGCTCCGCAGAGCACAACCACGTACCGTGCTGCATGCAGAGCTACGACGGGGGCTGCTCCATCCCTGGTGGATCAGAACTGCGCTTCACAGTGAGTCCAGCTTTCCATGCTTGGTCAGTGAGGGGGAGATGCAGGAAGGAGAGGGATGTCCCGAGCAGGGCCCTTCCATGGGGGTGCTGGGGTGCACACTGCACAGTCCTTGTTCCTGGGCTCTGCCTGAAAAATGATGCATTTGTGAAGCAAATCTATTTATTTCGGTGTGGAGGATGAACATGGAAAGGGACGCTGATGCCTTTTAAATGAATGTTTATTGTGAATTTCAGCAAAATGAAAGGCCAAAAAGGAAAAGGGAAGAAAGAGAAAAGGCGGAAAGCAGTTTTAACTTTGGAATAGAGCAATTACAATTGATACAATATATCAAATATATTTATGAATATATATCTATGCAGAAAAATAATGTTCTCAACACAAACAGTTCAACAAGAGCAGGCCACACATCACCTTCAAATGCTAACAGCTTCATCAAGCCTTCATTCATTACCTCATTGGAAGTAGCCAGCCATCCTTCCAGTGTTAATATATCCATCAGGCAAGACAATTCTTGAACCTAGTGAAACAGTGCTAACTCAGGTCCAAGTTTCAGGATTTTTCAGTTTGGAAGAAAAGAGCATCCTGCCTAGAAGGCAAATCCCAGCTCTGAAGTTCCTGCTTTGCAGCAGCAGCCCTCAGCCCCTGCAGACATTTTAGAAAATAGGATTCACCTATCTACATCACATTAAAATAAACCAGAGAAAGAGAGAAAGAGAGAAAGAGAGAGGAATAGGAGGAGGAGGAGGAAGCAAAAGGAATCAATAGGAAGTTTCTTGAGACTGAGAGTGACAAGTATTGAAAACCAAAACTGATCAACCTGAAGATTGTTCCTATCACTAATGCACAACCATTTCTTAACTTAGTGTATTAGAAACATAGAAACAGAGCGAGTCAGAAGGGGCCTCCTGGGCCATTCAGTCCTACCCCTGGCTCCAACTGGCTCCGCTCACAACATGCCCACCAGGTGTATGTCTAGCCTATCTTTGAGCATCCTCACTGATGAGGCCTCAACCATCTCCTGTGGAAGCCTATTCCACACCCTTGGGGTCCTAACTGCCAGGAAGTGCTTCCTGGCATCTAAATTGAACCTGGGTTCCCTGAGCTTTGCTTTGTTGGAGTACGTCCTGCTTTCCTCTGCAGGGAGAAACAGGTCTCTATCCACCTCCGTGTGACTGAAATCAGATTTCAAAGGTATCATCACAGAAGTCATAGAGCATGGGTCCTCAAACTATAGCCCATGGGCCAGATCCGGCCCACCATGCTCATTTATCTGCCCGCCTCAGAGCTTTTGGACTCGCTTGGAGAAAACAATCTCCAAGCGAGTCCAAAAGCTCTGAGCCAGCGCAGGCCTTCTTTGAAACTGAGCAGAGAGAGAGCCGGTGCATGCCCAAATTGCAACAGCTCAACTGCGTGTGTGCCGGCTCTTCCCCCCCTCGCCACCCATTGCATCATATACAGAGTGGAAATACGGAGTGGGAAACAGAAGAGAGGGCGGAAGAGAGAGAGAGAGACAAAGACACTAAAAAAGGATTGAAGGTAAGAAAAATATAACTTTTAAAATATATTTTTAATTATGTGAGCTGTGGCCACCTCGCTGAACCCAGGGGCAGCTGCTCTGTGGCGGTGGCAGCTAGTTTTAATTATGTGAGTGTGGCTGCCCTGTGCTCACCTCTCCACATTTTTAATTTTAATTATTTAATTTAATTTATTTATTTTAATAATTTTTCAAACTATAGTCCACCTCCCCAACAGTCTGAGGGACAGTGAACTGGGCCCCTTTAAAAAGTTTGAGGACCTCTGTCATAGAGTCACAGACTAATGGTAGAACTGGAAGGGGCTGACACGGCCACTGAGTCCAGCTCCCTGCTCAATGCAGCCCTGGCTCCAATATGGGAGACCCCATGGCTTCCAAGGTAATCAGTCCCACTGTGGAACTCACTGACAGTCAGGAAATTTTTCCTATTAGCTAGCTGGAATCCAGCTTCATGTAACTTAAGCCCATTATCCTGTGCACATGGTCCTCCTGTTCCATACTTTTAAAAATACAAAATAGTTAGCATTATGAGTAAAAGTATTGTGGTTATAAATTGTTGTTACATTATGTTGTTACATATTGTTGTTACAATAGCAATATTAATTTTACTTGGTGCTGTATTAATTCAAAACTTTGATATTTAAATGGTAAATTATGTTATTTACCACACTATGTTAGGAAGTTTCTTTTAGAGAGTTGGCACCCACTTTTTCCTTCTTGTGCCATAATCCTGCTTTTTTGGAAATTCATTAGATGATTGTTTACATTTCAATTTTTTTCGATCATTGCTTACATCTTAAGTTACTTTTTTCAACTCCTTCCTAAACCCCGTGTATTTGCAAGCAGCCCAAGGGTCAGGAACGATGCTGCCCCCATCCCAATGCCATGGCAAAGCTGCTGCAGCGACCAAGTGGTCCCTCCTTCGTGTTCTTGTGGGCCCACCTGGCAGTAGTGGTGCTGCAAAAGGCTCCCAGCTAAACCCAAGCCAAAGGAGAAGGCTGTCAGCTGCCCACAGCCCTCCCCATTGTACTTGCTTGCAGGCTTATCCATCGCAGCACTCACCAACCTACTTGGTCCATCTGCTGACTTGGCAGCAGCTCATGGCCCACTGCAGAGTTTCTGGCCCATTACAGAACTGCTGCCACTGGATAAGCCTGAAAAGGGGATTGAATTCTCTTGCAAGGCTGAGAGCTGCAACATCACCTCTGCTTGGGTGTACCTGGCAGCAGCGGCATTGTAAAGGCCTGGAAGTGAGCCGCAGTTTAAGCCAAGGTTCATTACAAGGACTGACAGGGTTCGCAAACACGACAATCCATGGCAGGCCGTTGCATCATGAGTATCCTGCATTGCTTTCTGCAGTGCGGCTTCTGTTTCTTTCTTTATTTTCTGTACCAGCCAACAGCAGGGGGAGATCATTTTTTGTGATCTCTGAAGTGACAGCCACTGCCAGCCCTTCAAAGTGCCCAAATGGCACTTACTGGTTTCCCACTTTGCAGTGTGTGTCTGTCTGAGATTTGTGTAAATGTTTTCCTTATTTTTTTGGGTGGATTGTTGGAGGAACACAACTCTGACTATCCCAAATAAACAGCTTTGCTTCATCGATACTCTGCATGGACACTGACAAAGGGAGGCTACAAATAAGTTCATTGGCTGCTTCCCTTCTCATTTGATAGCATTCCAACAGCAAGTCACCAAGTGAGAAGCAAAGCCATGATGGGATCTTTGCTTGTGCATTTGGGCAGTGCAACATGAGCCTCAGGGGTTTTTTTGGATCTGATTGTTCTCTTTGTCTGCTCTTTCCGGAGACTCTAGGTGCTTGGGCACTTTGAAG